TTAAAAATATGTTGCTTAAGAAAGATTGTTGTACATAAAAATTAAATTGCTCATGTCCATGTAAAAATTTGTTGTTCTTCAGATTTTTAAGAAAAATCAACTCTTGGAAAGGTGTTTTAATGGATCTTGTCACAAGCATGAATACTTGCTGATTCTTTGCTTTGAATGCTTTTCATACTCATTTGAAACTAATGAAGCTTTAGAACAGTGAGAAAATGCTCAAATACCAATTGCACCATTTGCATGGTACTGCGTATTCCATGATATTGACTTCTTCAACTTATGCTGTATTTTTATATTGCAAAGATATACACACATATCTGATTGCAAATCCAAACCTCATATTTTGAAAATGTGTCATGCAAGAAACTCAAAGTCAGGCTCAAAGTCAAATAACTTTGTTAGTCTATAATATTAATTTTAATCAATTTAGAATCTCATAGCCTTTCAGTTTATATTAACTTGTCATAGTCTGACAAATTCCAATGATGTGTTTGTCCCCCAAGTATTGTATCTGATTTGGAGGGGTTCTTTTTAGTGTTTGCTTGAGTGTCTTACTTAGATGTTTTGAGAATGTAGGGCCTGATTCGGTCATAATATAGATATGTGTGATCATCCAGTGAAAGGGTTAGCAGCTCTTCATGTTCATCTACAAACATATGCCATATTCTAATACTTATTCACATACAGATATCTACCCAGATAGAATTGCACTAGAACCAAAGAAAGGGTGCTGCATTAGTATGTTCATTTTCATTTATTTCTATCAAAATCAGTTTTATAAATAGGAGTAGTGAATTCTTTTAACATGATCTTTATTTTGTCCTGCTGTCTGTTCTTTCATGGATATAAATATTTACTTGCTTGTACATAAAAACACTGAATTATTAGATCTGCATAAACATATATATTAAATTGTTAATGGCTTCAATAATTAAGTGACCATCTGTGTGTAAAGGTAATTTTATAATAAGCCCACATTGATATGAATGCGAGACTAGTAGTCACTTTCCATATTGCTGGCAGTGTTATTGTCCTCAGAAGTTAAGGCTTTGCTTTAAGTTCTTTAGAAAACACTTTAATTGTGAGCTCATTGTGTAGATCCAGGTCTCATTTTTTAAAATCTGTGCCTTGAATTGAATGGGTGAGAATATATGTGCAAGAGTGTGCTGAAATTTATATTGTTGCTGAGCTCAGTTTAGAAAGGTTTGTTTTGATATTTTGATTTGCAAACTCTGTGCGATATTTATTTTGATGAACATTATCTGTGTATTTTATGATTAGTAGATCCGTCCATGATATGTTTGTAGTATATAATGTATGTTTGTGCTGCATCCTTATTTTATTTTTTCAGTTTTCATTATTACTGAAATGCACCAATATCAATTATAGAAAATATAAATTTCTGTTTAATTTGAATTCATAGCCATTGATTACTGTATGTTTCTGTTTGATTAAGTCACAAAAACAAGGAGTGTTTAACCATTGTCTGTGTTTGGAAATTCTTTCTATAGTGTGTGCTTCATGCTTCTAATTGGGTGATACAGCTTTATGCATGTGTCTGTTTTACATTTGTTTTATCAAAAATGACATGATAAATGTTTATAGAGTTAAAGATGGAGGTTAAACTATATAATCACCCTTTACAGCAGTTGACATTATTGGTTATTTTATAAAATGTAACTCCAGTTTTGTTGTCTTAGCTGAATTTAATAATTATATTTTAAATTGTCGTTTCAGTTCTTAGACTTAGGATAAGCTATATTTACTTTCTATTTGTACAAAATGATTTGAAAAAGAAAAAAGAAACAGCTTAATTTAAACTGAAATCCATAAAGATTATTTTTCCTGAAGCAGTTTCTGTTAGATATTTTGTGAGTATTGTTTTGAGGTTTGTTTTTGGAGGGGTTCACATATTGTATCCATTTCCTGGTTTATAATTCCATAGCCATTTAAGTACTAGTAAGAAGAGTTGCAGAGGGATGTGGTTCACTGCTGTACATTCAGGCAGATAGATTGACTGGAGTTTGTGTTGTTTGGTTTCTGCACATTTACTTGAGGTTTTATTGTGCAGATTTCAGAGGAATTAGGCATTTATGTTTCTCAACCAAGGAAGCAAAGCTCCTGATTTGAATATCAGTAGTTCACATATTAAAGTCATTGTTGCAAAAAGTAGATTTTGATTTTATTTATTTTGTATGTTAAATTGTTATAGATATCAATGGAATTAATTGTTATTCTCAACCATAAAAGACAGCTGCATTTTGGAGAGTAGGAAAGTTGTTACTGGGGAGCAGAATGTCAAGATCACTGTTGCCTAAAAAGTATGTAGCCACATTTCTAAAATAAGATTAAAAAGATTATAATTTAAAGTCTTACATTGACACACCAACACATTACAAAAGAATGTATGTTTGTTCCAGTCAATCTTTAATACATAGAAGTCATTAATCCTGGATAGGTAAAAGGTATTGATTTAGGTTCATTGCATAGAAACTGTTGCTTGAGGTCATTGGGTAGAGGGTATTGGTTTAGGGTCAAAAGGTTGAAAGTATTGATTTGGGGTCAGTAAGTTCAAGGTATTGGTTTGGGGTCAATAGGTTGAAGGTTAAAGAGCAGGGTTTCAGTACTTTCTTTAGAAAGGGATCCTTTTCCACAAACCTTATGTTGGAAGGTATCATGTGAGATGTCTCTTGTTAAAGTGATGTTCAAGGATTTGACAAATTGTTTGCAAGTAATATTAATGTATAAAATAATTCAATGTTATCACTCAATTTTTTTTAAATTTTAAAAAATTCCTTACCTAAAATGACAAAAGTTATATGCAAAATGTAAACACTTGATTTTTATGAAGTTTGTAGAAGCTGTTTATTGTTCTTCTAACAGTATATTGTAATCTGGCAATTTTTGCAAATAAAAATGAATGTTGGAAGTGAATTTATAACATTTTTGTTAGTCAAGTGGATATATAGAAGGCATCCATGTACCCATCTCTCTCTCTCTCTCTCTCTCTCTCTCTCTCTCTCTCTCTCTCTCTCTCTCTCTCTCTCTCTCTCTCTCTCTCTCTCTCTCTTTACGAATCATCCTTCCTTTCCATTGCTTTCACTTCCATAATCATGATCATATATAAGACAATACTTTTTAGGTACTGGTGGCAGTGTTATTATTATCAGTATTACATTTGTATGTTCAAAGGTGTGTGGGTGGAGGTACAACTTCACATATAGAGTTGAGATGCGGGATTCAATACATTCTTGAATTTTTTTGTATTTCAGGAAAATTTCTGAAGAGCCAAGTGACAAGTCCTTATGGATAATATTTGTAAGAGTTATGGCCCTTTCATCAAGTGAAAATAGTCATCCATGGTGTTTGTATTTACAATTTTTTTATTTTCAGTTACTTGCTATGTTCTTCGTCCCAACAAGAGTTCACATGAGTTGATGATGAGTGGATGTTAAACATATATTTATAGAGTTATGGTTAATGACCAATTTAAAATAGGTATCTTGTCATCTGATATCAACATACTTTGATCTATTTTTAGAGAGTTTTGGCCCGTGATTGACTTAGAATAGGCATCACACTGACTGTGAACACTAGCAGTCATGTTATTTGTTTGATTTTGTCCAGATTTATGTTATAGGTTCTTTGCAGCAAGATATTTGATTTTGATGATGAACGTATTTCAACTGTATTTCACCAATATATGGGCCTTTAACTTCGTTCACACACCCTAGCAATTTAACTTTTGTTTTGCTTGATTTCAATAAAATTTGCAATGGATCATCCAAGTTAGGGCTATGATCAAGAAATTTTGTATTTGATTTCAAAATTTGTATTTGTTACATCAGTGTTCTGATAGCAGTCATTTTTCGAATCAAGTTTTACCGTGAAACTTAATATTAGTGACATATTAGATGTTATCAGTCATAAGAAAGGTGTGGCTATGTTTCAGTCATTTCAATTTATTGATTTATAAAACTTTGATTATGCACAGCCGGGTACAATGGTCACGTTAGTACGAGCTTTTATTTCTTCCTATCTTTAGTTCCAATATCATGCACTAATATTATTTTAAATATACTTTATGAGATTTTACAAAATGCTTTATGGGATACGTTACGAGACATTTTAAGAGATATTTACGAAAGAGCCGATCCTCAGATTTAAATTGTTCGATATATGGCTAAATGAAAAACACAATGTTTTCACATTTTTAGAATTAACTAATCGTCGAATATCTGGGGTGGAGTGGAAACCGTATTATCTCTCTAATACATCCTTTCAGTATCGATACACACAATCATTGCATTGACTTTTTTGGGGATTGATCCCAAACTCAATGGCAACACAAATGCTGACATGAAGTAAAAAAATTTAAATTCTTCCCGTTTCATCCGAACATATAATGGCGTCCAAGAAAACGTGATTTTTAATTTAATAAAGGTTTTCAGTATTTCTATTTCAGTTATATTACTGTGTCATTTTGTTTATAATACGCATTGTGAATTTAATTTTAGTGAATACACCTTTAATTAAGAGGCGGTCAAACTGATTAATAACGCTACATCCTACAACATCGCACTGGAAAGGCATTCTTACTGAACGTACATACTAACAAAAGAAAAATAAATCAATTAGAAATTCGGTGTGTTCTAGAGAAGAAACCATTCTACGAGAAACTGCTAATGCAAAAAAGAAATATTGACTATTATTTAAGCTATATGCCTCATCAATAGTTGTCTTTTTGGTGTGTGTGTGTGTGTGTGTGTGAGGGGGTGATTAAAGTATCTTTAACAATTTTTCAGTCATAACGCTACGATGTCTGTTTTTATGGCAGTTTATAGTGATGACTAACACTGGGGTATCATGCTTCTGCCAGGTAATATCATATTCCACCCAATCACATTATCTTGACAACAGATCGACCAGTCCTAACACTATCCTCTAAATGCTGAGCGCCTAGCATGGCAGCTATTTGTGCTAATTTTATAAGTCTTTGGTACGACTCAGCCGAGGTTCAAACCAGCGACCTTCCCCATCCAAAACGGAAGCTCTAACCAATAAGCCACCGGAGCGGAACCTTTATGGAAATCAATACTTGTTTTTACTGTGATCATTCGCATCCTAGGAAGATTTTTTTGTAAAATGGATTATTTTTTTAAATTATTATTTATATTTTCAAACAACTGAAACATACAAACAGAAAAGTTTAGGCTTTAAAAGAAAATTCGGATATATTTCTGAAGCCCCCTAATTTTTCAGTGAGATGATGATGATGATGATGATGATGATGATGATGATGATTATGATTATTATTATTATTATTATTATTATTATTATTATTATTATTATTATTATTTATTTATTTATTTATTTATTTATTTATTTATTTATACCTAATTTGAACCAATTTAGTAAAGGGTGCTAAACACCTATCTTAAGACTCAAAGAAATTGACACGCGTAGCTGGAAATAGGTGGTATTTGTGAGCGGCTAATGTGTACTTTTTATGACAAGAACTAATAATATGTTGCAATCACGGAAGGGTTCGACCTCAATCTTATTTATTACATTAGGTCTTTGATAATGAGCTATCGGTTCTAAGCAATTTCATGGTGTTGTACCGATATATTTTAAATAAATTCGAAAAATAACTTTGATAAATTTCCATATTTTATTGGTAGTCAACCTGATCATAATTGACCGTCATTCCTGCTTTCATGCGCTCTGGCTTTAATTCATTTTACAAGGAAAAAAATTCAATTAATTTCCTGATGTTAGAGTTAAGGAAATGACGGTCTAGGAATAACTCTATTGAACGAGTGCAAATGAAACATATCGAGCAATTATATTCCTTTGACGTTTCATGGAACGGAGCCCCGTGTGGATAGGACTTACCACCATTCTGCCAAGAATGTCAATATCCAATAAAGTGATGTCAAACTGTTAGGAACGTTGAGCTCTAAACACCATGATATGGAAACGAAAGAAAAGAAACCTCGCCTGAACTTTATGAAAATTATCTTGCTCTGACAAGGGCTCACATCAACTGTCTGACTAATTACAATAATGTATTGACCAATTAATATCAGGAATTTGAACTGATTATGGATTTCATGAGCAGAAGAATCTTCTGATGACGCTGCAGTGGAAAAGCACACACCACTCTTCCCTATGAACCTGGATTCGATTCCCAGTTCTAGCACTTGCAGCATAACTGTTTCCTAGTTTAAGGTCGATGGTTTCTGTATTCTGGCTCCAGTCATTTCCAAGAACATCAAATGTCAAGATCTTGTCTGTCTTAATCATGCTGCAAATAAAATAAAACAAATACGATTGACACAAACTGTGGTATTCATTTAAGTTGTTTAATATTCTTTTAAATTATGAAGTTTAAATTAACAGGTACATTTTGCGGATACGATGTAAAAGTAAAATCACTGAATATGCATTAGTAAAAAAAAAAGAAATTGATTTTTTAGCGGGGTCCATATTTCACTGTGTAAAGCCATCATGATTTTTTGTACAAACGCTCAAGAATTTCATATCCTAAACATATACATGCAAATGTATATTTTACTCTACACAAATTATATAATGTAATGTCAAATAAAATATATTCGAATTTGACTATGTTTTCTCACAATAACTAATACAGTCTAAATACATGTTGCACATTATATTCCAATTTGTTAATGTTGTCTTCCAATAGCAAATGCATTTTAAATACGTTTGACGTAATATATTCCAATCTGAGCATGTTGTTTTCAAAGAACTAATGCAATCGAATTGCAAATTTAAGGACGAATCATTACATTATTTATCTGCAAAAATTTAAAGGCTGCGCAGGTAATTTTACTTTTATGGTAACGTTGATAGGTCTGTTCGATTTACTTGTCCAACAGTTGCTGCTAAATCTGACCCTGTAACTAATATTGCCAAAAAATATAATAAAAAATATGGGTAGGGGAGGAGGATGGTGACTTTATTACTTCGATAATGTAAAGACTGTGCCCTTAAGTGCAAGCGTGAAAATGTTGATGAAATTAATAACTATTAAGCAAACAAGAGGTGCTATTGAAGTGAATTTGCACTTATTAATCCAATTAATTAACTTAAGCGCCGGCAAGATTGTTCTTGACACTTGAAAGTAATTGTACAAACTTAACCAATACCAGGGTATTATTTTAATAGCGAGTCGATCTGCAATTTAACTTTGAATGAGAACGTTCAGATTAGTCAAGAAAGCTTTCGCAAAGTGATATTGCTTTGGATTTAATTCATTGACAACCCCGCTATTGTAGAACGTGTGAGTATTGCTACCTGCAAACGACTTTCTTAATTACTAAACCTTAAACTAGATCCTTGTGTTCTTGTACTCTGTGTGTGTGTGTGTGTGTGTGTGTGTGTGTGTGTGTGTGTGTGTGTGTATGTGTGTGTGATCTTGATTTTTAACGTGTCTTTAACAGTTTCTGATCAAGTCATTTCGCTACGATGTCTGCAGTGTGACAGTTTATGGTGATGACTTGAGCTGGGGCATTGTGCCGAAGACCTGTATCATCACGTGATGTCACGTGGGGATATATGGTGAAATATGTAACGTGAGGATGAACTGCTGATGATGATGTGATTTAGACGTTCATATGGTGACGTAGGCTGATAAATCAGCACCCACCCGTTATTGATTGGTGGAATAGGTGAATATATTACCTATTCATTAAAACATGCAAATATCTGCAGTCAATCTTGTCTACACAAATCAGTGTTCATTTTTACACTTATCGGTATTTCTCGTGGCTGTGATGGTAGCATCTACAGAAGGTTTCTTTGGTGGCTTAACATTATATTTTCGAGCAAATTCTATGTTTGGTGACTTGTAAGTCGTATGGAATAACACATCCTTCTGCCCCCTGTGGTTATTTTGAATTTTGCGCTAGATATGGCTGTTACCAATTACCAGTATTTGTGTAAAGTATAAGCAGGTTTGTTCTGGAAAGATTTGCATACTGCAAAATTGCACATTTTAGTGGACATATAACATCAGACTTAACATATCCTCCATCACAATCAACTCAGTTTTGGGATGTTGATGTTGATTTACCGGACTAATGATGACCTTATACATACATGGTGATTATACTTTTTAGCGCTATAAATGATACAGTTACTATATACTATAAGAATTCCTAAAAATAAGTTAAGTGGCGCATGCAATTTGTATATTGATTTTTTTATGATGAGTTATGCAGCCTATGGTAGGGAATGAGAACAAATTTCTTAATTGCATAGTCGTCAAACACATAACTAAATCTTCTAATTAAACATTTTAAGTACGAGGTAACTTATGTTTATATTTCAACTACCAGAGGTAATTCAACAATATTTTAAACTAGAAATAAATCAGTTTGAAAGCATCTCGATAAGTCAGTGATATAATTTGTGTGCAAAGATAAAGAATGCGCAAACAGATACTTTTTTTCCTATGGTAGGTAAATATGACGAAGTTTATTTTACTAAGTCATTACTGACACTAAGAACCATCTTTAAGTTCAGTCAGGTACAGTCGATTTATGTGACAACCGAACGATACCAAACTAAATACATCACAGACCGACGGAAAAGTGATAAATTAGTTTAGTCTCATATATAAACGTTTATGAGGTCTTTTGGAGAACATGCGCATATTTGAACTGAAATAGTACATGTAATAAAGTATAATAGAATATAAAAAATCTGGACTTGGATATAAAAGAGTAGAAGAAGATAATTGGTCCATTTCAACGAAAGGAATCTTATTGCACAATTTTTTAAAATCTTTTACTATTTTGGGGTGGTTGTTGTTTTTTTTTTGGGGGGGGGGTTATTAATGCTGGAGGGGAAGGACTTTCACAGTGTTACTTCAAAAGACTGAAAACAAATATGGATAACCTTCTGTGTTTAAAGTACAAGCTCAATAAAACTTCAAATGGACGAGAATTATGACAATTACCTCGGTCACGGATACTACCCAAATATAAGCATATGCATGCAAATTCATTTTAGTCTCGCCAGTGTTTCTTCAAACTTTCTAGTACAACATAAAGCAATACTAACTAGAGTGGATAAAAGTTCACGTAATAGAGAAAGTTTTTGTTGATACACTGTATCAAAAAGTCAATTTGAATCTCTCTCTCTCTCTCTCTCTCTCTCTCTCTCTCTCTCTCTCTCTCTCTCTCTCTCTCTCTCTCTCTCTCTCTCTCTCTCTCTCTCTCTCATATATCAGCATAAGCTAGTTTTTAGCCGTCCATATTTAATATTTATATAACTCATAATTATATTTTTGCTCCATGCAATGTAAGTATTTATGTGTATTCACGTTGTATTTTTATTAAGTTTGGATGTTAAACACACTTTTATGTGGGAGAGGACTAGATCTAAAAAATCCCCAGTGCTCGTAATATGTACAAAAAGTCACACTCACTATCAGTCTTTGATGGCCGTCAGATATGTGATGGAGTCAGAGTTTTATGTTGCCGTTGTGCCTATTGAATGCAGAAACGTATTTACTATTTACGGAAGTGGCTAATACTTTTTTTGACTTAAGTTCCGATGCAACATTGATAGACGTGTAGATAAAGTAGTTTGTCATACAATAAAAAACTGAGTTAGATCAGAAATCCATCTAATTGTTGTAACAAAAATGCGAACGTCATTATACAAACATCCATCTGGAGCTAATGAGGTTGTATTTTGACTACATTCATAAATATTAACTTTACTAAAAGCGTCTTCATCAAGCAAGGTTTTATATGGTGATATATACGGCAATGAAGTGATGATACTGTTGAGGTTATAACCCCATTATATTTTATAGAATTAGGAGTTTGCTAACGAACTATCAATTCTTGATGATCACAGAATGAATTATATAGCTATTAACCATGTATCCAAGAAATAAGTCTAAAATTTCAATACACAAATTATGGATTGCATTATTATTGACTGCTATTTCCAATTTATTGTAATCCCGTCAAAGCCTTTTTTTCGCTGGACGAAGTGTTAATTGAGGGATTGATTCTAGCATCGGGGAAATCAG